TCTTGAACCACTCGTTTGTTGCCTTGGCCGTGTGTTTTGGGTCATTGTTATGCTGGAATACCCATCCACGACCCAGTTTCAATGCCCTGGCTGAGGGAAGGAGGTTCTCTCCCAAGAATTGACGGTACATGGCCCCGTCCATTGTCCCTTTGATGCGGTGAAGTTTTCCTGTCCCTTTAGCAGAAAAAACACCCCCAAAGCATAATGTTTCCACCTCCATGTTTGACGGTGGGGATGGTGTTCTTGGAGTCATAGGCAGCATTCCTCCACCTCCAAATATGGCGAGTTGAGTTGATGCCAAAGAGCTCCATTTTGGTCTCATCTGACCACAACAATTTCACCCAGTTGTCCTCTGAATAATTCAGATGTTCATTGGCAAACTTCAGACGGGCATGTACATGTGCTTTCTTGAGCAGGGGGACCTTGCGGGCGCTGCAGGATTTCAGTCCTTCACGGCGTAGTGTGTTACCAATTGTTTTCTTGGTGACTATGGTCCCAACTGTCTTGAGATCATTGACAAGATTCTCCCGTGTAGTTCTGGGCTGATTCCTCACCGTTCTCATGATCACTGTAACTCCACGAGGTGAGATCTTGCATGGAGCCCCATGCCGAGGGAGATTGATAGTTATTTTGTGTTTCTTCCATTTGCCAATAATCGCACCAACTGTTGTCACCTTCTCACCAAGCTGCTTGGCAATGGTCTTGTAGCCCATTCCAGCCTTGTGTAGGTCTACAATCTTGTCCCTGACATCCTTGGAGAGCTCTTTGGTCTTGGCCATGGTGGAGAGTTTGGAATCTGATTGATTGATTGCTTCTGTGGACAGGTGTCTTTTATACAGGTAACAAGCTGCGATTAGGAGCACTCCGTTTAAGAGTGTGCTCCTAATCTCAGCTCGTTACCTGTATAAAAGACACCTGGGAGCCAGAAATATCTCTGATTGAGAGGGGGTCAAATACTTATTTCCCTCATTAAAATGCAAATCAATTTATAATATTCTTGACATGCGTTTTTCTTGATTTTGTTGTTGTTATTCTGTTTCTCACTGTTCAAATAAAGCTACCATTAAAATTATAGACTGATCATTTCTTTGTCAGTGGGCAAACGTACAAAATCAGCAGGGGATCAAATACTTTTTTCCCTCACTGTATATACACACACGTATGTGGGAATGTGTGTGGGAATATCTGTGTGGGAGTATGTGTGTGTGTGTGGCGCAGTGGTTCGTGCTCTGCGCTACAAATCCGCCAACCCGAGGCCGATTCGCGTTCATGGCCATACACCAGTGACGGTTATCTGAACAATTCCTGGAAATTTTCTAGGTCGATTCAGCCTCAAATGAGCGTCCAGTGCGGTTCGCAAAACATCAGAACTGGAGAGACAAAGGCGGTCGGGTGTGGTAAACTCTCGTGTGCGGTGGTGGCCTTCATAGGCGCTCGCTGACAGCACTTGCCCCAACAGTCTGTTGAGACTATACGGGGGATCATTGTCAATGTGTGCGCGTAAAAGGGAGGCAGTGGGGAAGTGGTTGACGCAACCAACCGCCCGGTTTTCGAAACCGATCCGGGGCCTCCCCTATGTAGACTCAGCCTCGAACGAGCACCTGGTGCGGTGTGCAGTGAACAACAACCGCCGGGGAAAAAAGCGGTGGGCAGAGTGGCTCTGGCCTCGACACTCCGTTGGATGCTGGGTTGCGGTCAATAGGTGCTCGCTAACCGCACTCACCAACAACGACGACCGTCGATACGAACTAAAGCGATCTAAATTCTCCTAAATAAATAAATATTTACACGAAATAAAGCGATCTTCGCGCGCCGCTGCTCTTTCCTTATTGCATCTGCGCATTTTTTTTTATGTCTCCGTAAGTGTTTGAGTTACATATATATAGGGATTATTAACACTAATGTTTAAATGAAATTCCAATCCAAGTGTTGAGTTGTTGGCAGTCAATAGCTGCATTTTTTTTCTCTCTTCCCAAAGCAATCTGATTTTAAAACGATCTCTCTCCGCTCTCGCTCTCTCCGCTCTCGCAGCCGTGCAAGGGATAGAGGGGGAAAAAAACAATCGGCTCCTTGCTCCGGCTCACAATTTTCTGCCAATTTCCAAATGAAAACCCATTAGTTCCTTACCCACTCGCTCATTAAGTCCCGGTTAGAAACGCACTGCAGCTCTTCATTACGTCCGATTTCTACAGAGATATATTTATCGCGCACGCGTGTGTGCGAGCATGCGTCGCACGTAGGGGATTTAGAACGAGGGTTGATACCATACCACGGTGAACAGCTGATTGCCAGAGTGAACGGCCACACACATGCACACGCACTCACACACACGTTCACACACTCTTACACTCACACATCCGTAGCGGAGCGCGCTAACCACTACACAACGGCTCCCCACAAATCACACGCACACACCACTCACGCACACACGCACTCACACACACATTCACGTCAGCATCACCACCGTCACACCGCTCCGACGGCCGAAGGCCGAGTGCAGCGCAAACCCGAGAAGTGGAAAACAGGCGGCGCGAAAACGCCGGCAACGTTATCGAGCGCGCAAGTCAAACTGAGGGCATTGGGGGAAGCGAGGGTGACGGAGGGTCAAGCTCAGCACCGGCGCCCACCTGCACGAGTTGACAGATGAAGGACTCCGGCTATCGGGCGCTCGCGGTAGGGAAGGCACCTAAACCCTCACTCCACCCCGCGCGGCAAAGTTACTTTCAAACGGCGGCGATTCTTTCACTGAAATTTCCCCCGTGTCTCAAACCTCCCCCCCCGCCAACCCCCCCACTACAAGGCCGACGCGGCTCGTCAAAACATCCTCGATCTCTTGGCGGAGTGCCACCTATTCACACCCTATTCACACCCTATTCATGGACGGTATCCGGGTGGAGGAGAGGGGGGGGGGGACCCTAACGCTCAACAACAAGGCAGGCAGTCACGCAGGCAGCCGGAGGCAGTTTCTCCCGTCTGCCGCCCTGCTGCGTTTTACGATTCGGTGCAAACGTCGAAGCCTCGGAAAGCTAAAATGATCGCAGCCTGACTACGACTGAAACGTCACATCGTGCAACGTGTGCATGCGGTGATGTCACTAAACGTCCAGGCAGGAATTATCTGCCAGCTTCTATGGGGTAAGGCAAATGGCTGTACGTTAATACATTAAAACTAAATTTGACTCCGCGGAAATGAAAAGGTTACGTATCGGTGAGCGAGCGATGGTTCGTCTCATCACAGTCGTTGATTGAGTAGGAACACTCTGGACTGGATTCCACTTCCCTGAGTCGCATCAGCAGGCCGAATCCTGTTAAGCAGATGCTGCTGGTATAGGCAGGCACGGCCCGTTTCCTGAATATTTCACAAATTATAAATTCCTCGGCATGGTTGGTTACGTACGGTGCGAAAGAAGTTCAACATGCATCCATACAAAGATGTTTCCTTTCGCTCGAAACCAGTTGTGGAAATGCCACATTGCTATGGCATGGGGCAGGCAATTATTTCCATCGGACAACCGCTGTTGACCTCCTCTCAAAGCGGTATTTATTTTATCAATCCTGTAGAGATAATGGGCTCAGTCGAGTCCAGACCGGGATATTAACTCGCAAGCTTGCGAGGGCGATCCGCACACCCTAACCACCCAGCAAGATACAAACAGGCGTCCACAGAAACACGAGCAACATCATTGGTGACACGAGCAGCAATTATTCATCGCGTTGTGGTCTAAACACTAAGTGGAGAGGCTGACACACAGACACCTGGTACATGTGGGTGGTGCACGGTGCATGTTGATTCAAGCGCACTGACAGAAGCCTGGGCCTGTAAAATAGGGGTGCGAATTCACGGGCAGAGGGTCCCATACGGCCTGCGACTCCACTTCACACGGCCTGTGACTTCACTTCACACGGCCTGTGACTTCACTTCACACGGCCAGTGCCTTCACTTCACACGGCCCTGCGACTTCACTTCACACGGCCTGCGACTTCACGTCACACGGCCAGTGCCTTCACTTCACACGGCCAGTGCCTTCACTTCACACGGCCTGTGACTTCACTTCACACGGCCAGTGCCTTCACTTCACACGGCCTGCGACTTCACTTCACACGGCCTGCGACTTCACTTCACACGGCCTGTGACTTCACTTCACACGGCCTGTGACTTCACTTCACACGGCCTGCGGCTTCACTTCACACGGCCAGTGCCTTCACTTCACACGGCCAGTGCCTTCACTTCACACGGCCTGCGACTTCACTTCACACGGCCTGTGACTTCACTTCACACGGCACTGCGACTTCACTTCACACGGCCCTGCGGCTTCACTTCACACGGCCAGTGCCTTCACTTCACACGGCCTGCGACTTCACTTCACACGGCACTGCGACTTCACTTCACACGGCCTGCGAATTCACTTCACACGGCCAGTGCCTTCACTTCACACGGCCTGCGACTTCACTTCACACGGCCTGCGAATTCACTTCACACGGCCAGTGCCTTCACTTCACACGGCACTGCGACTTCACTTCACACGGCCAGTGCCTTCACGTCACACGGCACTGCGACTTCACTTCACACGGCCTGCGAATTCACTTCACACGGCCAGTGCCTTCACTTCACACGGCCTGCGACTTCACTTCACACGGCCTGCGACTTCACTTCACACGGCCTGCGAATTCACTTCACACGGCCAGTGCCTTCACGTCACACGGCACTGCGACTTCACTTCACACGGCCAGTGCCTTCACTTCACACGGCCTTGTGCCTTCACTTCACACGGCCAGTGCCTTCACGTCACACGGCCAGTGCCTTCACTTCACACGGCCAGTGCCTTCACTTCACACGGCCTGCGACTTCACGTCACACGGCCAGTGCCTTCACTTCACACGGCCAGTGCCTTCACTTCACGCTTGCCCGTAGCTTCCCCACGCTGTGTTTTAGACTTCAACCTACAGGCGTTTCTCAACCATCCCCCACACACACGGGGCAACCTACAGGCATCCACTTACCGACAACACCGGGGCCTTCCACCTCCTCCTTGCTGCCGTTGGCATCCGTGATGATCCAGAAGCGGCGGATGAGCTTGCACGCGTTCTCTGGCAGGGCGTCCTTGGCCATCTCAATCCTGCGGAGAGACGCGGTGCGCAAATGACCCATGTAAATTAAATCGGCGGTGGCGATAATTTGCGCTTTGCTTCGGTTAACAGTCTGGATTTCTCGAGAGAGACGCCCTTTGCGCTGGTTGCATACGCGCCCAGCCATCGGCACGCCCAGCCATCGGCAACTTGCGTCTTCGTCACAAACGTCTTAGGGTGTACCCCTGGCGGCAGCTGCCCCCGTGTAGCACAACGTGGCTTCGTCAGCTTGCCTGCATGTTGGCGCGAGTTTGCGAGTAGCTGGGCGATGACCGCTGCGGTGTGCAGTTCAAATTGAGTCCTATGTGGGTTTTTTTTAATTTAAAGTTGACATCCATGCCAATCAAGATCTTCACTGGGGGGGGGGGGGGGGGGGGGGGGAGTGTGGGGCCCTCCGTGTGGATAGGATGTCCCTTGAACGTACCTCGGAAGCAGTTTGGCGACAGCCGCTTCTGCGGTCTGTTCTCTGCGGCGAGGCCATTCACCGATAGTCGTTGAAGAGTTCTAAATGGACTAGGCGTCCGCGGGTCATTACGCCAAGAAAGCAAATGGAATAAAACCGGCGGGGAGGGGGGCAGGGATGACTTCAAATGTTTAAAGGACGTGCAGTTGGACTGGTGAACAAGCAGAAGTGAAGGAATCAAACGTGTCCATACGCGCCGCCTTGCAGCGTGCAACCGTCGAGTCGGCGAGTTCATTTGGCAACGATTACTCATTCCGTCCCTGACTGTTCTTCTCTTCTAAGTGTGAGCCGGTGCCCAATATTGCATCCAATTACTTGATGTATTGTTCTGTTACACGGCTGTGTTAATGATGAAAATAATTAGTTTTGTTTGAATTCAGGGGTTGTAATGGTTGGCGTAACAAGGCGTCGCATTGCCTTTATGAAAATGTACTTAATTATTTTCGAGTGAATTTAAGGCACAGAGCCACCGTGGCAGGTTCTGTTTCGACCGTCTTTGACGATCTGTGGACGGTGGCGAGGTGCGGAGTGACGCGTCTATTCACCAGGCTCAAGTCGACCGATGTACTTCACGGCACACGCGTTGAAGAGCGCTCATGAAAATAGATTATATCACGAGTATAAATATTGCCTGCAATGGGTTAAATGTCACCCCTGCTGCTCCCGTATGTTTATAATGGAAGATTCAGCAATGCTATATCACGAAAAATCATCCGTACTTTAAAATTGTCGTCATTTAGATCCGACCACGAGTATGCGAGTTGCGCGATCGCCGTTGCGTCGAGAGACTACGGGACCGCTCTGATCTCTCGCAGAGGAGTGCCCACCATTCGCGTTGGCCAATGGCCCACGTAAAGCGAACATCACAAAAGTAGTTATGAGATCACCTCTTCAAGTGACAGAATATTAATTAAGGTCGTGTTTTTTTTCTTCTTATTGTGCAGTCATTGGCGAGCAAGCAAGAGACCGGCAACTCGTTACACACGTACACTCTTGCATTTAATTGTGAATCGTGAAAACGAATCAAATCACGAGTCGGCCAGAATTGTCACGGGCTTATACAAATCCCAAACAACTCGACACATTCGTCAATAACACCGCGGGCTTAAAATAATATATAACAGGCGATATTTCTGTGCAATGGTCCTTCCGCATGGCCGATAATATATTTTTCCTTTTAAGCTCACAATGTTATTGACGAATGTATTGAGGGTTATTTCTCATTCACCCTGCGTCGTTGCACCACTGCCAATACAGTGGCAGTGCCGAATAATTTGTGTTATATAAATACAAAATATATTTGGAATATATATTTTTTACGGGTTCGGTTTAGAAAGGTGGAAGTAGCAGCACCAGAAAAAAAAAACCTTCTCTACTCTTAGAACGATGGTAATTTCATCACACGCGCGGGGGGGGGGGGGAAATCCCTCTGACTTGCCATGCCAGTGGCAAGTCAGCAACAGGCACAAGCGCAAATTAACTTTCTGTGCCGCTAATAAGATAGCGCACAATGAGATCCGCTCACTGACAAAATAAAGGCAGCCATTAACCCCGCCGCTTATAATACCCCAACACAGGGGCAACATTTAATTAAGGAAGGAGGCAGGTTGTGTGTAATTATTTCTTGACAAAAATCTGTCTCGTTGCGAACAGCTAAGGAATAATGTGGGGTTTTGTAGCTTGAAGGATTAGGGAATGATCAAACGGGAGCCATCGCCTAATCTTGTTTTACAGGGCATACACGTGTGTGTGTGCACGCATGCGTGTACACATGTGTGCACGCGCGTGCGTGTACACGTGTGTGCACGCGTGTACACGTGTGTACACGTGTGTGCGCGCGTGTACACGTGTGTGCGTGTGTGTACACGTGGGGAGCGGTAGTGTAGTGGTTTGCGTGCCACGCTACGAAGCCTGCGATCCAAGTTCGATGACAGCTCACGGCCAACACCAATGAACATTATCTGAACTGGTCATGGGGCCTCCCCTAGGTCGACTCCGCCTCAACTGAGTGTCCTGGTGCGGTGTGGAAACATCGCCACGGAGGATAGCAAAGGCGGCCGGGCGTGGTGCTGGCCACCCACCCACCACCTAGTGTGCCGTGCCGGCCTTCATAGGTGCAGGACTTGCGCCAAAAGTCTGTTAAATGTTGTATGGGTGTGTGTTTATAGGTAAAGGCGCAGCCCTGCAATTGCTCACTCATGGAAGGAGCCTCTACTAAAGGGAGCTCTAGCGATTACCTCGAGAGGCTATTTGGCCCGACTCTTCCACGATGGGGCAGACGCCTTGGGCCTTGGAAGAGGTGGGAGTTACCCACGCTTTACCCCACCGCACAATTTAAGAGCCTTGCACCGCTGTTTAAACGGCCCCGCCGGGCTATCGAACAAATACCCAGCGACCCCTCGACCCGCAAGCGCAGCGCGCTCACTCCATACGGCACGGCGGTATCCTTGCACGTGCGAGTGCGCGTTGGGGCTATACGGGGGATCTTTGTCGATTTGTTTGGTGTGCGCATACACACATACATACATGACATAAATCATATATGTGCTGTCTATAGAAACACAAGTAATGAGTCGTAATAATAAGAGGAAGAACCGCAGCAACAACTTGTTGAAAATAAAAAAAAACAGGAATGGTGCAAATGAACGAGCTGACGGGCCACGCTCGTTAGGTGAGCATGGACTGGCTGATGATACCCGGGAGGGGGCGGGGAGTGGGGCGAGGGCAGGGCGGGGTGGCTGGCAGATCCTTGTTGCGCATTACTCCACCACCACCGTCACCCACCACCCCGTCGCGTGAGAGCGGATCATCAGCCGGCTAACCCCCAAAACTATCTGCCAAGCCTGGGGGATCTTCAGCACCAACTTTGGTGAGTTTGGCTCCCTGGGTAGATGTGCGCGCGTGCGTGTGTTTTGTTTAATGCCAGGAGCCAGTTTGAGATTTCTTTTGTTGTAAAAAAGAGTGACAGTGGAACAAAAACAAATTCGACCAAGGTCAAGAAGTTTTTTTCCCTTCTTCTAATTCTATTAAAGGGAGTGCTCCTAATCTCTGCTTGTTACCTGTATAAAAGACACCTGTCCACAGAAGCAATCAATCAATCAGATTCCAAACTCTCCACCATGGCCAAGACCAAAGAGCTCTCCTAGGATGTCAGGGACAAGATTGTAGACGTACACAAGGCTGGAATGGGCTACAAGACCTTTGCCAAGCAGCTTGGTGAGAAGGTGACAACAGTTGGTGCGATTATTCGCAAATGGAAGAAACACAAAATAACTGTCAATCTCCCTTGGCCTGGGGCTCCATGCAAGATCTCACCTCGTGAAGTTGCAATGATCATGAGAACGGTGAGGAATCAGCCCAGAACTACACGGGAGGATCTTGTCAATGATCTCAAGGCAGCTGGGACCATAGTCACCAAGAAAACAATTGGTAACACACTACGCCGTGAAGGACTGAAATCCTGCAGCACCCGCAAGGTCCCCCCTGCTCAAGAAAGCACATATACATGCCCGTCTAAAGTTTTGCCAATGAACATCTGAATGATTCAGAGGACAACTGGGTGAAAGTGTTGTGGTCAGATGAGACCAAAATGGAGCTCTTTGGCATCAACTCAACTCGCCGTGTTTGGAGGAGGAATGCTGCCTATGACCCCAAGAACACCATCCCCACCGTCTAACATGGAGGTGGAAACATTATGCTTTGGGGGTGTTTTTCTGCTAAGGGGACAGGACAACTTCGCCGCATCAAAGGGACAATGTTCGGGGCCATGCACCGTCAAATCTTGGGTGAGAACCTCCTTCCCTCAGCCAGGGCATTGAAAATAGGTCGTGGATGGGTATTCCAGCATAACAATGACCCAAAACACACGGCCAAGGCAACAAAGGAGTGGCTCAAGAAGAAGCACATTAAGGTCCTGGAGTGGCCTAGCCAGTCTCCAGACCTTAATCTCATAGAAAATCTGTGGAGGGAGCTGACGGTTCGAGTTGCCAAACGTCAGCCTCGAAACCTTGGAGAGAATCTGCAAAGAGGAGTGGGACAAAATCCCTCCTGAGATGTGGACAGGTGTCTTTTATACAGGTAACAAGCTGAGATTAGGAGCACTCCCTTTAAGAGTGTGCTCCTAATCTCAGCTCGTTACCAGTATACAAGACACCTGGGAGCCAGAAATCTTTCTGATTGAGAGGGGGTCAAATACTTATTTCCCTCATTAAAATGCAAATCAATTTATAGCCTTTTTGACATGCGTTTTTGTGGATTTTGTCGTTGTTATTCTGTCTCTCACTGTTCAAATAAACCTACCATTAAAATTATAGACTGATAATTTCTTTGTCAGTGGGCAAACGTACAAAATCAGCAGGGGATCAAATACTTTTTTCCCTCACTGTACTCTTTCTGGTGGGGGGAGCCAAGGAGTGATAGCGTGGTGTGATGTGGAATTGGAAAAATTGGGAAGAAGTCTTGGGCGCATCGCAGGGGGTTGGGCTAAGTGGGGTTGGTGCGGGTGGGTGGGGGGGGGCAAACAGGCAG